AGATATTGTGCTTTTCACATTATTCAGTAAATAATTATTCGCTTCATGTTTGCTAAGCTCGACATCAATTCTATGTCTTTGTCTAATATTCAAAACAGTTAATTTCTTTTGATTAATCTATATTCAAATACTGCATATATTAAAGAAAAAATTTTCTATCAAATTAAAATAAACTTCTATTTCTTTACATTTTGAAAATTTTCAATAATGTCTCGTTTCCATGCATTAATAAACTTTTCTTTTAAATCTTTTTCCATTCGAAATGAAACTTCGGCTCCATCTCGACCTCTTGGTAACCATTTATTTCCTTCTTTTTTTGGATTAAGACGAAATACACGTAAATATAATACACCCGTTCAAATTGTATAAAATCGACATTTATCTGTATAACCAAAATCAACTAAATCTGCCCAATCATATCTAAAATTTGAATTAATAGCAATTTCATTTGAAACAAGTTGTAGATTCAGAAATTTATTATTTCTAATATTCTTTCTGATTAATCCATCAATAGTAGCAATTCCAGGTTCAAGAACTTTGGGATCACGTAACTGAATAATCGATTGACGTATTGTCTTTGCAATATTTGATAATGAATACGGATCATCGAAATCATTCGATAACATCATGAATAAAGAATTGGATACTTGGCCTTGTGGAGCAATGAAATCGGAAACACCACGAGAATTAACGATTGTAATTGTATGTAAAATACGACGCTCATCATTATTATTATAACAATATTTATTAAGTGTCAAAATAATATAGGCTGTAAGTGCATTCTGTATTGTTACACTATTTTCACCAGCTAACATTCGTAAGGTAGCAAGTTGTTTACCAGAGAAATGTAGATTTAATTGATCATAATTAAGTTGATGAGCAGAGGATATTTTTGAAACTTCTTCTATAGATTGAGCATCTCGAAATTGTTTTGGTATAGGTAAAACTGATTGATCAGCTTCATATTCTCGCCATAAACATCATCGAAATATTAGTAATGGTTGTGTAGATTCCATCTGTTGATATAAGCGTGATAATGTATTAGAAAAATGTAGACATGCAGTAGCATCACGTAATGGATAATACCAACTAATACCTAATACCCATTCATTACTTTGTACAATATGAGTCAATTTGAAATGAACAAGTGGTTCATCAGATGAATTGTTAAAGAATTTCGTTACTTGAACTTCATCAATAAATATTGGAAATAATTTATTATTTGCTTCTACAATAACATTTGAATCCAAAGACCATTCTTTCAAATCGTTATTAATAACTAATGTTATTGGAATAGGATTGTCACACATTTCAATGATATGATGTTGATCGTTCTCTAATATAGTACGACCAACAACAAATGGCCATAAAGAAAGAGTTCGACTAAGTGCATCTTTAAGTTGATCAATATTTATTTCCGATGGATAAACAAATACATTATTAATACGTCCTAAGATCCATAGATCCATAGCAGCAAGTTCAATACGACGATTATTTCCTGTTGGTGTTGAAGATGATACCATAAAAGATGATGTCATATTTTCATCTAGAAGTTCGATTCGAGATAATTTTCTACTTATATAAACGAGGGAAAAAATGAGACTGTGTAATTGCATAAGAAAATGACGATATTGACGCAATTCATTAGATACTTTCGAAATAGCATATTATTCTTTTATTGCAGTGATGATGTCGTTTTACTTTTGACCTCGAATATCATACTATTAATCGTTTACACTAAAGACAACTGATATTGCAAGATGCCAATGAAATAAATGTGATAAAGAGGACGCAGTCTATCAATGCTAGAAAATGTGATTTTGTTTTTTTTTTCTTAATAATGTTCTCGAATTTGATGATAAGATATATTCAAGATTCGTATATAGAATTTTCCAATAGTTGAGTTCATTAGATAATCTATCCGTATTTCTAGCAGCTATATAAGAAATATTTATTGTGATGTGATGATTATGTATAGCTGCAAAAAATTGATGATAGATATTTCTAATGTTTTTTGTATGATACATCCATAAAT